TATATGTTTTGTTATTGTTTCCCATAGATCAAACACCTTGGCATTTGCAAAAGTCTATTGACAGCGATTGGTTTATTCGGCAAATTCAGATAGACATTTATTTGTTTTAATATAATTACGAGTACATATTGTAATATTAAACAACTTAATAGATCTATACTAATATTATAAAAAAGATAGATTTGTTTTTTTTTTACATGTATTAGATTCACGTAAATACTACTCGGCCGATTTCAAAAACTCTTTCACCATTAAAAGGGTAATTTGTCTATGAGTAACATAGGTTATATATTTCTTATTATTTTTTATTTTACGCGAGCAACAGTTAGTCTATACTTATGATCTAAAGAGGAAAGGTTTGTATTTTTGTGTAAATTGAAATAACTCAAAAACTACTGGGCGGATTAAAAAAAGTCTTTCACCATTAAAAAGATAGTTTGTCTATGAATAACATAGGTTATACATTTTTTATTATTATTAATTTAAAGCGAGCGAAGTCGCGAACAACATTTAGTTTATACTAATGTTATAAAGAGGAAAGGTTTGTATTTTTGTGTAAATTGAAATAACTCAAAAACTACTGGGCCGATTTTAAAAATTCTTTTACCAATAAAAAGCTACGTTATCAGTGAATAACATAGGCTATATTTTTATTATTTTTTTAATTTCACACGGACTGAGTCGCGGGCGAAAGTTAGTTAATTAAATCAGACGTCGTATATTTAATGTCAACGATTCATAGTTTACATAATTGAGTGAAAAGTAATTCTTATAAAAATAAATAACGAATACGTAGAGAGAAAAGATTGTAAACAAATTTTATTATTTACACACAATGTCAGTAGAACGCGACGTATTGTAAACAAACAGTATGGAATTATTAACACAAACAGATATATATAGACCGAGCTGATAATTTGCGATAGTTAATGTGTTGCGACCAACGGAAACGGTTATTTTGTCATGGTTAGAAAGTTTTAAATACATTGTGAATCAAAAGGTACGTATACTTAGAAGTAATCTGGTTTTAGTTGTAGCCTGTTTTTTTGATCGATTTTAAGTCAATTGTCAGTGTTAAAAGGAATATATTGCTATTATTTTTAGCTTCCGTCCGCGACTTCGTCCGCGTGGAATTAAATTAAAATCCTCCACGTCTATACCAAATTTCATCGAAGTCCGTTCAGCCGTTTAGGCTACAAACTCTAAAGTTTGTAGCCTAGAAAGATGCGAAAGTTTAGATGGATGGATGTTTCTAATATTATAAATGGTTACTTCATATCATTATGATGGATGGATGTTTGTTAGACTTTGCAGCCTAAACTGCTGAACGGATTTCGATGAAATTTGGTATAGATGTAGAGGATAGTCTGGAAGAACACATAGGCTACTCACTTTTGGTTTTTTTATTCCACGCGGACTGAGTCAAGGGCGGAAGTTAGTAATCTTACTAAAACAAATGCTAAAGATTAGATGGATGTTTGTGAGAGTTTGTCGATAAAATTTGGAATGCATGTAAAGCATAGTCTAGAAGAACACATAGGCTATTTTTATTCCACGTGGAGTCGCTGGATAAAGCTAGTATTTAATGTTTTTAAAATTGTATCTACTTCTTACTACATTTGTACTGTAGATTGATGAAATACTTAAGATGTCAAGAACATTTTAAAAAAACGTGCATATCTATACTATTATAATAAAACGTAAACACACTTCTTTGTTGCCTAAGATGTCAGCAATTACAGCATATTTTTGAATAATACTTCTTTTAATAAAAAGCCCTACACCTACGTCACGCTTTAGGCTATATATTTTTAAAACAATAAAACTTAGGGGTAAATGTTTTGGATAAAAACTCTAATATGGGAAAGAGACCATAAGTTGCTGCCAACATTAAGGTAGCAAGGTTGTCAAGGATTGTCATCGTGTCATGTCATTTTGACATTTGCAATTGATAATTTGTCACATGTAAATAATAAAATAAAATTTTCTTAATTTTATGCGGATGAAGTCGCACGGGAACAGCTAGTGTAGATATAAGAATAAAGATAAGGTGCCAAATATCCATGTTCCTGCCTACTCTTTTATAGGCGTGTAATGTTGTTTACTTATTACTAAAATGAATTAATAATTTAGCTAAATAATTTATAATAGTGGTTATCAAGTCGCATAATAATTAATGTTTATGTCGCTGTTGACTGTAGATAAAATTAATTACTTATATGAAATTATTAAACATAAATGTTTCTGTATGAATGTAGTGTGTCTAAATAATTTAGATTAGTTTGACAATTCATTTCAAATTTAGTAGGGATGGGTTGTGTAATCAGTCATGAATCTTATCGATTTTTGACCGACTTCCCAAAAGAAGGAGGTATACAATTCGACGATATGTTTTTTTTTATGTGTGTTACGGCATAACTCCGCCGCTAGGGGACCGATTTGGATAATTCTTTTTTATTCTTATAGAAGTTGGAATCGATAGATTTATTTAGTTGTAACTTATGAATTAAAAAAAATGTTTTCTCAAATGAATAATGACCATAACAAATAATGAGAGTAAATAAATGTTTATTACTACTACAGCGATACGTAATCGAATTGGATTTCGCTATTATTTCTGTCATCGCTAAATTCTCTACACTATAATCAATACTAGAATTATCCTAAAAATTAGTTAATAAAAAAATGGTAATTTTAGTCGAGTTTAATTTAAACCGAATATCGATAGTTCCAAATTGTGTTTCTTTCGTCACTACGATACCTGTCTATTAAATATGGCATTTGCCTTCATAGGAATTGAATTCGATACTTCATGTCCGTCATTATCAAACTAATCTATTTTATTTAGACAAAGTATAATAACAAAGAAATTATTTAAAAAATATTCCAAATTTAAAAATAGCCTTTTTTATTTGCCTGATAATCAGATTTTATACATATATCATACTAGCTGTTGCCCGCGACTCCGTCTTCGTGAAATTAAAAAAAAACAAAAGTGAGTAGCCTATGTGTTCTTGCAGGCTATCCTCTACATCTGTACTAAATTTCACCGAACTCCGTTCAGTCGTTTAAGCTACAAACTCTAACAAACATCCATCCATCTATCCATCCATCCGTCCATCTAAACTTTCACATTTATAATGTTAGATGCGTTAATTTGTTACTGAAACAATCAGATAAAATACCTATTTTACTTAATAATACAATAGAAAGTTTACATTTAAAATGTTGAACGATTTTCATTATTATTATAACATTATAATAATGTACAAAGACGTTTTGTTTAGTAGAATTACAAACTTCTATGTTAATATGGATTAAAATAATATTATATACTATTCCCGCGCGACTTCATCCGTAAAATTGTGATAATTTTATTTTATTGTTTACATTTGTCAAATTATCAATTGCAAATGTCAAAATGACATGACAGAATGATAACCTTGCTTCCTTGATGTTGGCAGCAACTTATGGTCTCTTTCCCACATTAGGGTTTTTATCCAAAATATTTACCCCCTAAGTTTAATGGCGTGAAAATATATAGCCTAAAGCGTGACGTAAGTGTGGGGCTTTTTATTAAAAAAAGATTTGTTAAAAAATATGCTGTAATTCCTGACATCTTTGGCAACAAAGAAGTGTGATATGTGATGTATAGATTGAGACTGAAACAAAACATTTTTTAATATAATTTATTGAAATATTGCAAAATGTATTCCGTAAAATTATAAAAGGGATCTAAGGTCGCCTTGTTACATTTTCAAGTCAAAGTTCATCGTATCGTCAAACTGTTATTAGTATACGCGTTGTTTCTTAGTTACTTGTCTGAAACATAGATGGCGCTGTAGAAAACTCATAAACAATAAATAATTTTATATTTTTCAGATGGAAAGACTTGTAATTCTTCTTCTCCTATCAATAAGTATAACAGAAGGGAATCCAGTAATAACAAGACAGACGTTAATACGCAAAAATGACAGAGAACATCTTTGCTCGAATCTTTTAAATTTTAATAAATTATTCTACGCTCTTGACAGTCAGAGAAACGTAAGCGGAGTTCCCGCGGATATGAGTGTACATTGGAAAACTGGAAAAGTCTATTTCACATTAATAAGCGATGAAATGAAAATGAGTTTACAAGTTTTACATCCCAGTGGGGAAATAGATACTATAAAAGTCGCCGGACTCGGCCAATCGACTTGTATAGACAATTTAAACGACATTGTTTACCTAGCCACAGACAACGGAGTTTACAAATACAAAGAAGATGGCTCCATAGAGTTATATACAGCTTTAGGTGAAGACGTAATGTATGTTGCGATAACCAGTGATGGTGGAACTATGTTTGTAGCGACATGGCCTCAGAATAGAGTTCATAAAATAACAGGGGATGGACAGAAGCAAGAATCATTTCCCGCTATACCTAATGGTCATGGATTAACTATAGATACGAGGAATAATATTTATTTTGTCGCTACAAAAACATCTTATGTTTTAAAAATTGGATATAGTATACCTATTAAAATTAAGGGTTTACCGAGTGATAAAATGACTGGGATATTTATTAGTAGATCAGATGAAGTATACGCTATGGATGAGAACAGTAATTTGTATGTTATTGATCCTAATAATGTGAGTGCGAGACAATTGGGTTCTTTCAGCGTTAGTGGAGTAAATTCTTTCGCAATGGATGCGGCTGATAATGTTCTGATAGGCGTTAAAGGGGCTTTATTAAAATTCAACGCGTACGAAAAGAATCCTTGCATCCCTATTGAAAAGTATTTATCATTTTTACAATAATTATTTATGTAACTAACTATAATAATTAAAAATGTAAATTTTTAATTCTATTTGTAATAAATATTTTGTATCTAATAGTTTTATGTGTCTATTTTCATTCTGTTTTTTATCTATGTTTCTATCAATGTTGCCACTGCAGATATATTGTTGTTCTCTTCTCTTTGTTAAAAACAAAGACGATCATATACTTTTTTAAAAAACTCTAATCAGTATCTAGTGGTTTGTTAATCCAAGGTAAGTGTACTATAAAATTTATTGTAAATAATTAAATCATATACTGCTAATTATGATTGCAAAAGTTTAGATTGATGTATGACTTTCTGCTGACCTTAACGCATCTCGATATATGACTCAGATATAGAACATAATCTAAAAGAATTTGAATACTGAGGTCTTTTAATAGTTAACTAATGTTTACCAATATCCATTCAATGGAAATAAAATATATTTTTTTGTTTAGAAAGAATCAAAAGGGGAAACGGCACAGCAGGCGTCGTAAACACAAAAAGAGGACGACAACCACTACTGAAGCCGGCGATGACGATGAAGAATAAGACCAGTACAAATAAATATTTTATGTATTGATTGCATATTTATTAGTCATTATAATTATATAGAAAACATGTTATTAAATTAAACAAACCAATATTTGTTACTGTTCTCGTGTTATCTTAATTTTAATTTTGAAAATAAAATGGTAGAACGAAATGTATTTGTTGTTTTCACGCCATCTAGTTATTTAATCATACACTACCTTAAATCAAAGTTTTTCATTAGCTCATGCTTTGCACGTGAGATGACAGTTAAAAACAATTTATACGTGTTCAAAATAACAATGCATATAACATTTTGGAAAATAAATCAAAGTGGTTACATTAATAAATGGTATGAATACTGCTAAATTACAAATGATTACCGTATTATACAAGTACGTATGAATCAAAGTTTAAAGACAAGCTTTTTCAAGAAAAATGAATAAATTACTATTAAAAATTACTTACCAATAATTTTTAATGATTTTTAACATCTACATAGACACTATTACTCGAGAAATCTTTTAAAACTGTTATTTTTTTATTAAAGCCCCAATACTACACGTGGTAACTTGAAATTGATAGTAACACCGTTCTTGAAACAACCTCAAAACTCCTTGCGCAGTTCTGACATTTGTCAAACAGATTGTCATACGCGTCGGAGATGTGTCAGTGAGCGATCGTTCGCCGCTTGGTGAAATATATTTGTGTCGTAAATGTGGTTCGTTAGTGTGATAATGAGAAAACACATATTGGACTATCTAATTATTAAGTGATGAAAGTGTTTTAAGTTCGGTGTCCTGTTAAAAATAGTTATTTCCATTTGTATGTCATCGGACTCTTCAATATGGCGGCCCCCCGTCACAAATCACAACAGAAAAATATATCCTCAATATTTTCGAAGCTGCACGGTGCTTTTTCTGATGCGGTATGTCCAACAAAGCTGGCAACCGACAAGAGGACTCTTGACAAAACATGGAAACTGATGGACAAAGTTGTAAAACTGTGTCAACATCACAAAATGAACTTGAAAAACAGCCCGCCGTTTATACTCGATATTTTGCCGGATACATATCAACGGTTGCGCATTATTTACTCTAAATACGAGGATAATATGCAGGAATTGAATAATAACGAACATTTTAATATGTTTATTATAAACTTAATAAGGAAGTGTAAGCAAGCTATAAAATTGTTTAAAGAAGGAAAGGAAAAAATGTTTGACGAGAATTCGCATTATAGGCGTAATTTGACTAAACTGAGTCTCGTGTTCAGTCATATGCTGAGTGAGTTGAAGGCTATGTTCCCTAATGGTACATTTGCTGGTGATCAGTTCCGTATTACCAAGAGTGATGCTGCAGAATTCTGGAGAACAAATTTTGGTAATAGGTAAGATATCCTCTTTTTATTTAATTATTTCTGTTGTAACACTTAAAGATTCCCTTAGGTTCATCATCAGAGGCAGCTGCAGTCTGTGGGCTGGCCTTGGCTTGGTCTGGTAAATTCATCCATATCGGTTTATCTTGGGGCTTTTTGTTTCCAGCCCTTAATGTTGACATTTTTAAGATCTCGATCGGACATCATCTTGCGATCTTAGTTCTCTCTAGTTGACTATCTAATTGGCACTTGGGCACTCTGCAGACACTCATCCTCGTTACATGTCCTGCCTAGCATATCCAACCAAATTTGATAGCCTTGACAACATTTGGCTCATTAAACCCCTTAGTTTAGATTAGATCCTTTATTTAACTTAAGCTGCTCCAGATATTGTTTTTTCATGAACTTCATACAGATGTAAATTATATTTCTATTCTAATATAAGAATGTAATCACACACTACTTTGTGGCATAGGATGTCAGCAATCATAGCATATATTTACATAATTCTTTCTTTAATAAAAAACACTACTCTTAGGACATGCTGAAGGTTATATATTTTCACCCTATTAAACTTAGGGGGTAAATAAACTGGAAGAAAACCTTCATATGGGAAAGGGACCATGAACTACAAGCTACCAACATTAAGGAAGCAAAATTATCATGATATGGTAATTGTTATCCAATGTTAAAGACCTTCATTGTCATATGTGTTTTGACATTTGCAATTGAAAATTTAACTGATGTAAACAGTAAAATAAAGATTTTATAATTTCATGCGGGTGAAGCTGCACTGGAACAGCTAGTCTAATATAAAGTTGGAAGCAAGAGAGTTATCCTTGTTATAATAAAAGGACCCTTAGTGGGTATTTAATTAAATGAGGTTAATTCCGTTAAATGTAGATCGTTTTATGTTACATTAAATTGATTGAAAGCATTCTATTACTGAGTAAATGTGGGTGGATAATAAAATAGAAATGATATCATACACCCACTTGTGAAATGGTATCAAGAAAGTAGTAGTAGTAGTAGGGGCTACGGTTTCCGCAACTCCACGACTAGCGCGTATTTTGCGTGAGAATAGGACATGGATTACTCCAGCCAACCCAGCTCACCGAATAACCCCAGCAGACCCTTTATATTGCTGGTGATCTCCGGGAGCATCAAGAAAGTAACATTTTCTTATAGTTAAAAATAATCACTTATTTAAAAACTATATACTAATATAATAAAACATATACACTAATTTGTTGTGTAGGATATCTGCAATCACAGCATTTTTTAATAAAAGTCTCTACACTTACAATAGTTCGAATATTCCTAACTGTCACCCAGTTCTGTCCCCACATGGGAACAGATGAGAATAAAAAGATTCACTAGAGCCACATTTTGCGACGAGGGGATGGTTGGAATTTATTTAATAATGGTTCCATCTGTCACCTTATTGGTGATAGTGGGACGGATATAAAATTTTATTCTCACATGGGGACAGAGTTGGGTGACCATTGGGAATAATCCCAATAGTTTATATTAAATTTAGAAGTAAAAAATTGAATAAAACGAGTCATCTGAGAAAGGGACAAAAACTAAAAGGCAACAGCAAAGAAGAAATATTGCTGCAGTAATTTGACAACTCGAATTGATAAATAAATGAAAGGAAAGTAACAATATTGCAGTAGATATTAGAAATAAACCATATAGATCCTACTTTTATTAGACTGGGAGGGGTATATTAAAAAAGCTCCTTTCCTAATCATCAAGTCCCCCATCTATATGCAGTTTCCCATTCTTTTATGTTACAAAAGTATGGGAAGTGAATTGTATTCTTGTTTAAGTCAATGACATTACTTGTACAAACAAAAAGGACTGTGGGATTATAAGTTATTTGTGCAAAAAAACTGTTGTTAATTGGTCATGGGAAACAAGTGCATTATACACATTAACACTTGTTCTTGAGGCAATGAATTTTTTGAACAGTTTTATTGCACTTCAACTGGAGGACATGTTTTTATTGGGATTTAATATAGCTATACTAGTCTATATTAATAATATAAAAAGGAAAGATTTGTATTTTTGTATGTATTGAAATAACTCAAAAACTAATGAACTGATTTCAAAAATTCTTTCACCATTAAAAAGCTATGATATTACTGAGTAACATAGATTTTTTTTGTTAATTCCACATAGACAAAGTAATAAGCAACAGTTAGTCTTTTATATGGTGGTATAATATTTTATCGTTCATTCCATATAAAAACATGAATGATTCAAGTTCTTTAAACTTATTGTGCTCAAAGGTCATCAAAGTTTTTAAAATAGTTATTTTAAACTATTGTTCATGTCAATGCCATTCATTCAAATATTCTCATATGAATGAGTGTGTAGTAATCTATTGTCTAGTAATGCGTAAGTCTTACTATTCTATGTCATAAATATGTTTTATAATAAGTTTTTTCAATAATATGCGCAGAAACACAATTTTTATTTATTTCTCCCTAAAAGGTCCATGTATGGTACTTTTTCTTCTTTTGTTTTACTTTTTTTAATAACTCAAACATGCTAGTCTTGGTGGCCAGTATTTAATTAAATGAGGTCTCTGGCTGTATTCATACTTCTTTTAGCCACATAGAAATTTTGCACTGAACAATCTTCCTTTAATGAATACATGCTATTGACGAATTATGTATTCCTGAAGCCCTATACATTGTAAATACAGAAAGATTAGATGGATGGTTTATTAGAGTTACAGTCCAAACAGCTTAACGGATCTCAATGAAATTTGGCACAGATGTAGAGGAAAATCTTCAACCTATTGGAATGCCGGCTTTTGTTTTATAATTCCATGCAAATGGAGTCATGGGCGAAAGCTAGTAAGCTATATATTTGTCATATAAACAGCATCCATAGATATAATCGAGACTCACAAACCTCCAGTTTTATTTCCTGTGTTAAACATCCATGTGTGAACAATGGGTTTGTTTTCCTTTTGCAAATTAAAAACAACCATTGGAATGCACATAATATCCTCCTATTGTAGTGTGCTGTATCAACTCTCCAGAGATTGTGAATCATCGCAGGCATTTACTGAACATGTAGTCAGAGAATTAAATTCCCTTCCCACTTGGAATTAAAATGACACAAAAAATTAAATAAAACCGCACTAAATCTTATCAACACTACATTACAATTGATAATAACAAAAACAAAGTTATTAAAGAAAAATAAGGAAAACAAACATTGCAATGCTGGTCGGATTGGGACATCACTAAGATTTAAATGCTAGATGCTTCTAGTTGATGTACCCAGCGCTATTCTTCCGCGAGAACTCTTCATATCACCCACAAGTCATTGCAGGACGCCTACATTACAACAAAGAACTTGTCACAATTTTCTGACATTGACAGATTAAGGTTAGATAGCTATCATAGTTTGATTAGAAATATCCATTGGCTCAGATATTCATATTGGTTAATAGATAGCAATATGTGTGCTAAAGAATACCAATTATGGCCTTTAGGTTGCTGTAATTTGTGTTACTTGACTGCATATTTAAGGAATTAAATTTCCTTCCCACTAAGTATTGAATTTCTAACAGTTAGCTGTTATCCAGTGTCATTAGTCATTTATAGCGGAATGTGACAGGTGATATGTAATATTCCTTGAGTGTTATTGGTGTTGAATTTACAACCATTAGTGTTGTTTTTAGCTTTTTTAGTGGTGGTTGCCAAGATTGTCATAAAGCTTGGCTTACATGCACTTGATGCCTTATTAGTATAAGTATTAAGTCTTTATATGGATTTAATTTGAATCTTCTATCTATATCTATATCTTTACATGTAATAAAATTGGTGTGTCCGTATTATCAAAAGAAAAATTCCAGATTTTAGGGAAGTTGATATATTTGCGTTGCTGATAACGAAAATCGCATTTAAAAAGAAATTGTATGTCCGCAAGCCGCGCGAAAGGGCTGAGCCGATGTCGACCAGACTTTCACTGTAGGGTAGCTGACATAGACGGTCATATTATAGGCTGACTTTTATCATAATATTGTGTGGACAAAGTCGTGGTCGACAACTCCTTTAATTTAAAAAGATAGTGTGACTTAAGTGCAGCCAAGAATAAATGATAATAAGCATTTATTTTTGCTTTAATTGCTTTGTAATTACAAAAAGTAACCTTTGAATTACATGCTGTTTTTGACCAACTTCCCAAAAGGAGGTACTTATAATAACATTCATTGTGACATAAACGGATATCATAGCATATCGCTAATGGTTTTAACGATTAACCTCCAGTAAGTTAACATATCTTATCAAATATGAGACTTGAATTAGAATTTTTTCTATACAATCTTCATTCATGAAAAGATAAGTAAATTTTACTATCGACTTTTGTCAATGGTGCAATTTGAAGTATTATATTTATCAATGTAAAGATATGAATGTAAAATATAAAAGTATTTATCTTGTAGGAAATACCTTTCGCTATCTGAACGTAAAGAACTTAAATCTGAATGGGTTTTGTATGGTTTTTCCGATGTTTGGTTACTATGATTCAAAATTTAATTTTTCACAGTTTAAATAGATGTTTTTTATCTCTCTTTTTTTCTAATAGAGTGACAGAGATGACTATATTTTTGTGGATATGGTTATTACAGTGAAAAGTTAATGTAATATTTTTAGAGGCTTGTTGAATTCTAATTATTGAATACTAGCTGTTCCCGTACGACTTCATCCGCATATAATTATGAAAATTTTATTTTATTGTTTACATGTGTCAAATTATCAATTACAAATGTCAAAATGACATGACGATGACAAACATGCTTCCATGAAGTTGGCAGCAGCTTATGGTCTCATTAGGATTTTTATCCAAAATATTTACCCCCTAAGTTTAATGGCGTTAAAATATATAGCCTGAAGTGTGACGCAAGAGTAGGGCTTTTTATTAAAAAACGAATTATTCAAAAATATACTGTAATTGCTGACATCTTAGGCAACAAAGAAGTGTGT